AGCGCGTTCGTTCCCCACCATAGACACCTGCGGTCCAGAGTTTTGCAAATATCTCAGCAACGTTGTGGTTGTATTTCACATAGGCTAACGTTTCTGCTCTTTCACCTTCTTCAGAAGTGGTCCAATTGGGTGTTGCACTGGATCCAACTTGATGCGTTCACGAAGACCCACATCGGATGGAAGAACTTTGGACCACCACTCGGATCAATCTAGCTCTGGGGAACACGAAGATGCCGCAACTTTAGCCGAATGAAGTTTCTTATCAACCTCGCGTTAGTTTATCAATGCAAGAACGCATGTTGATTAGCTCATCAGTGCAAGAATACACGCCGATTGTTCATTGAAGAATAGTCGTACCAAGGCTAAAGGGAAGTCCGTTTTTGAAATATTGTAATGTTATGTGCTAGCTTCATAAATACTTTTTTCGACTATTATGCCAAAACAAGGATGGTTGAATGATACCTTAGGCTTAAGTTTCTGCGCCTCCACCTTCTACAGAGCTGCATTGCTACAAGTCGATGGTCCGTCCACAGCTGGTCGTTGTCGCCTTCTAGATGTTGGCTGTTGCATCAAGTTGAACCCAGTGCAGCAAGCACCGTTGGAATGAAGAACTTCTCCTTCAATGCAGGATGCCGAGACGTTTGCCGAATAAATCTTTCTGCCAACCTCGCACTAGCTTAGCAATTCAGAAAATTATTATTGATGCAGAAGTTTAGTAAAAGCCGGTGCTTAAATACTCCTACGCTCTATCTATATACTACCTGAGATTTTCTGGATACTTAACTTCACAACGTTGTCTTTTAATTTGATACCTTTCCCCTTAAAAAAAGCCCTTCCTGCTTCTGATTAGTGAACATATTCGACAAAGTTCATTAACAACATTCTGTACAAAGTGACCAAAATAAAAACCATGATACTATAATAGAAATTAAGAACTACTAGTAGTAATGTGAATTTAACAAGATGAAATATTGCACACACAAGAAAAGTTCGCAAGCTGCTAACTGTTTCTACTTCATCTGATCTTAGAGACATCGTTAAATGGTTCTAGTCGGTTTCTATAATTACTTAAGCAAAGAACTATTTAGGAATTAAACAGTAAAGCACAGTACTAATGAAGAAATACATTAAGTGATTTGAAAATGATTAGTTTGAACAGAATGTAGGACTAGTAAGAAAATCAGTGAATACCTATACAATCACTAGTGGATGAGAAAGAAGGGAAATTTTAGAAGAAATATAGCATAGAAAAAACATACACGTTAGAACTTAGTACTGTCAAAAGCAAAGAAACATAAGAAACAGTATTCAAACACTTCCCTTTTAGTTACTTAAGAAGTAGATATCGAGAAACCGTAAAAGATGTTGCAGAACTATCAGTATCAGACACCACTTAGGAAAAGATGCTAAAGCGGAAAGCCGACGCGAAAGAAAAATGAAGAACTTGTATCCAAGAAAAAGTGAAAGTGAAGGCAATCGTAATTTCCCAACTAAAACCTCGAAACCGCACATAAAGCTACGAAACGACATTTAATCCGTTGCAATTCTTTCCTCCCTAGAAATCGAATTTATCGATCGAATACTATAAAGTTGTACACAAGGTAGGTTAGAAGTTAGACATTGTAAAGTTAGTGATTATTTGTTAACTAAATATATAGCAAATCGAGTTTTTCCTAAATAACACTAACATACGTATCTACTTTTACATCAGACAAAACGAAGGAAAACTATTGATTTGATACGAAAATTCTGATAAAAATAAATCCCAAGCAGAAGCACCTAGGTGAGCCAAAACGTTGTCACAAACGTGTAAAGTAAACAAATACGTGAAAAGAAGTTTATGCTACGAATCGCAGACATCTTGGAAAAAAGTCTATGCCAAGAATAGTAGCCATCCTGGAAAAAACTTAGTCGCAAAGTGGCAAACTTCTTTCCAAATCACGACGACTGGCATCGGCCGACAGTGACAACCTCAGAAAACCTGCTATGGGTATATCGACAACCTAGTAAAACAGAACGTGTACAATTAGTAAAATCCAGTCAAGTGAAAACTACGCTTTGCCCACAAAATGCAAGAACATTGGCAATACATATAATTAGTATCTAGTGAGAAGAGTAATTAGTGTGAAAGAAGTTTGAGAAGACTTTAAATACCTAGTTGTAATTAGCCGTGCAACATTTATACTGTGCTTCGCGAACACTAACTAAAGGACGGTTTCACATGGTTTTCAAAATAGCACAGCGTGGCAAGAAAATGTGGACTTCCCGCTATTTAAGCACGAAGAAACGAATAAGTGCTGTCTTTGATTTTTCACAAACACATAAATGCATGGGCAATACTTGTCTTCATGCATATAAGTGCCACAGAATATCTCAATAGACCATCTTACATAGTAATACCATTAACTTATATAACCCGACCCTAAACCGAGCATAGATAACTGTTGCAGAGCTCAATAACACTCTAAGAGGAAGCAAAACTCATTGGCACATAGAGAAAAGGAACCTTGAAAGTTGACTAGAACTTCTCTCCTGAAAATGAGTAATAGATTGCTAATCCATTAGCGTACAAGCCAGCGGATATTGCGAAAAATCCAACAACGATAACGAAACAATTCAATATGATCTTGCACATTCGTTCTCGGTAACTCAGTAAGCCCTGGAAAAGTGTTCTTCACATGATATACGAATACAACTGACCACTACATGACTTGCAAAAAAGATACTTCTATGTTGACTTTTACTATTTTTTTTATACCAGAGTATTATTTGAAATACAATCACAACGATGCTGAGATATTAGCAAAACTCAAAACTCCAGTTAAGTTGCGAACCCGCGATTGACCTTTCCAGAGGCTAAAGTGCTATCTACTGCACTACGTTCGAGTTTTGCTCATAAATCAGCATCCTTGTGGGTGTACTTCTCATGACACCTTCCCATGAAAAAAAGAATAGGCAGCAAATAAAAAGTTGAACATTAAAATAAAATCATCGGCGCTCAAGAACGGAACGCTCAATGAAACAAAGTTCAATGACCATTCACACCGAGGTTAAATGAAATTCAGTTTACAATAGTACTATTATTCTACTTTACACGATCCGATATGACATCTATGTTCAGAATCCAGCATCTGTTGTATTTCATTCGTTTCCTTATATCGGTTATCTATGAAAGTCCTCGGATTTGCACATCCGTTCAGCCGCTGTTTAAAGAAATTTTTTCTCGTCTTCTTTATATATGTCGTTGAACGCGATCCTCCCTGGAATACTGGAAGAGCTACACTAAGGCGTTCGCAGATCTTCAGCAAGGCAGTCCCTAGGTTTTGAGGTTTGTAGGAACAGAGCTGACCACTAACAAACCTTGTAGCAATGACAGGACTCCGGACAGATGGAGAATTGGTTTACGCGGACAGAGTCGAACCAAAGCATTGCACGTACTGAATGGCATTAAGTGAGTTGCTCCTGTCTTGTATCACCTATACCACTATTCGTCCAGTTGATCGTTGAGTGATGACAGCGGGTAAACATTCCATTTCTCATTGTCTGGAAGACCAGTTCAATGGACTCTGCTCGTTCTAGGGACTTGCTGAGTGTATACCTGAGCTCATAACTCTCTTCTAGCCTTTTTGTGAAGCATTTGACCATCAGATCGTTGGTCTTCCTGCTGTACGTTTGCCATCCCGAAGAATTCAGTCGCAGTTTCCGTCCATCGGTTATTTTTCATACGCATTACGCGTGCGACCCACCTTATCTTCGACAATGCAAAGCATCTTTAATTTTTCACCGTTAAGGTAAGTCACAGCTTCTTTTCCTCAATTGCGTGACGTGGGATACTCCCAGCGTCGTCTTTCGACTGCACGTTCTCTAACGCTGATTGACTCTTCATCCTGTTTACGTAGCCACCAGATTACCGAAGTGTAGTTTAAGACAAGAAAATTCGTACAGTCAAAAGGTGTGCATGGATTCGACTGTTCTTTGTTCCCCTCACTACTTACTCAATGCTCTTAGAGGATCTCCAAGCTGATCGTTTCCTCTCCCTCAACTCTTGAGCTAAATCATTCATAACATTGATTTCTCAACCAAGAGAGACATAGCTGGAGCATTCGGAGACATTCACTGCCTTGAGCGTGAATGGAGCAGACGAAACCAATCCGTTTCTAATAGACATCGTTGCTGTGACATGGCGATAAATAATTTTGGCAAGATGATATCGCCTAGTATAACCTCTCTTTTGACGTCGACGTTAACATCGTTATAGAATGGTGGTATTTTGGTTGCGAAATTTTTGTATGGCACACGCTTTATGTAATGAGTGGGAACTCCCTAGTTGCCCAGGTTTCCCACGGCTAATTTCATCTCGGCTGAATCAAAACTTTCCTCAAAGCGATAAAAGTGAGACGGAGCGATCTATAGTACTCTCGCGATACCTCAACGAATTTTGTTATCGTGTGGATGTGGTCCATTGTAATGAATGCTTTCCGAAATTTTGCTTGCTCACATAGCTGTTCTTCGTCCAGTGTTCCGCCAATCCTATTAAGGATGATGGCTCGAGCGAAAAGTTTGTAGACGGCAAACAGTAGACAGATTGGGCGATAGTTGTCGATATCGTGGAGGTAACCCTTCTTGAACACAACACAGACTTTCTGGTTTTCTACTGAATAGGAATCTTGCATCCTTACAGGTAACGTGCGAAATGGCGAGTCAAAGTGTTTGCGAGCACTTGGCGAGAAGTTCTTCAGATGTTCACGTTTTATCCTGTTCGGAGCATGCATGGTACGACTCTTCGCCGACGAAACCGCATGCCGGATTTTGGAAAGGAGAACCGGTAGTACATAAACATCTTCCTTTATCTCATATGTGGGCAGGCGCACGTGGCTGTTGAAGAGTCCCACACGTAACATCACGGCTCTGAGGAAGGCGAAGTCGCCGAAACTTCAGCCATCGATCAATAACATCAAAAACAACGACAACGACAACGAAGACCTGTACCAACCTCGCGTCAGCTTAAGAAGATCAGTTTATAAGACCATATAAACAAATATATCAACTATCTATGCCGAAGTTTATAAAAAGTCGGTCTTTCGAATAGTAATAATCTTCGCGAGTCTGCGCCACTCCAGAAGATTCGACGCAGTTTGATTACGAAGACCTACATCGATAAAGGACTGTGGACAATCAACTCGGATGATCGCGGCTCTGAGGAAAGGTGAAGGGGTCGAAAAGTTAGCCCAATAACCATTTATAGCAACCTATTGTTGGCTTAATAACCTAATAAAACAATAGCAATAATAACCACAATAATGCTAAGATAGGGCACTCCGGGAAAGGATAATAGCGGGCTCGATCTTAACTCTTTTATTTACTGCCTTTTCTTCTTAATGGCAGGGTATGTTTCGAATTATAACTCGTATGAAATGCTGAGATATTCGGGCTCGATGTTCACCGCAGTAACTTGCGGTTCGGAGTTTTACAAATATTTCAGCGTAGTTACGGTTATATTTCACATCATACCCTGCCATGAAAAAAGAACAGATAATAAATAAAAAGTGACCATATTGTGATGAATAACAGTAATAGTCCATATTATTAGCGACATGTTTCAAACTTACCTAACGAAGAAAAATCTACTTGAATTTGCAAAACTCTTCAGAACTCTCCGTTTAAAACAACTTATCGCCAAATAATTCGGAATAAAAACCTAAACTAAATGAACACGTTTCCCGCTTACCTTCCAATCCGTCCAAAATGTTATCATTTCAAATAATGGTGGATAGACGAGGGCACAAAGAGTGCCACTGGTCACTCCCACTAATGGGATCATGATCTCGAGTCGCGGAATCAATACAGCCATCAAAAATGTCAGCATAACCCAAAAAAATCGAAAACCCTGAAATTCCCAACATATATCCAGTAATTTTCCAACAACCACGAATGATTGGACACATATATTCAATTTCTATAGCTTCAGTTGAATTCTATTGCACCTTGTCCACTAAAAACTTCGGACAGTTCGGAAATCGAGCAGAAAATTTCCGACGATATCCATTGAAGAACATGTCAAACACAACATACATAGCTATGGAATGTCCTAGCATTGATTGCAGCATAAGAAATACGTTAATCGTTGAATACAACCTGAAATGGACTTTGATCATTACTTCTGCATTTCTGCACGCAAGACATAAGACATTGGACTAATTGTTAGAAATTCGATAAAATTGGGACGGAGATTAGTTGAATAGCCATGCTTCACCAACCCTTCTTTCGGGACGTTCGTAGTGATCGTAGGTGCAACACTGTCACCAAAAGCAGTGTAACCATAGAATCCTAGGGCGGTCATGAAGCTTGTACATATAATCATTGTCGTTGGTAATACACCATTTGGAGCCAAAAACATTTCTGGCGATTCCAGTTTGTTTTCGACAGGAAGAATCTGCAGTAAAACGGACTTTCAGCTTCACTGCAAGCAGTGAGTGAAATTTCGGGTCACATCTAACATCTACCATGTTTTAATTGTTATAGATATATGAAGATGTAATTGGACAGCAATGAAAATGAGGTTCTTCCTTAGCGATCCTTACATGTGGTAAAAAACCTACAGTCCTCACCATGGTTTGTCCCTCAAATGAATACATGCTCATACCAATCATCATTATTGTCCCAGGGAAATCAGTTGAACCTGGTAGAGTTCGCCATTGATTTGGCTGTCTAAATCACGATACGGAAAGGTAAGCAGGAATTCGAAACATCATACACCAAGCATTCTTCTTTCTTCAAAGCAGCTATGCAATGTTTTTTCGAAATGACTGTTTTAACTTGTCATTATAGTCCCCAAAACGAGTTCTACATTGTGAAACATCAACAAGTAGGTGGAAGAAATAGCAAAATTGAATACGCATGTGTTAAAATACCTTACGATGTACTGCATAATAACTGCTGTACCGATAATAAAAAACACCGATGACACTAATGCTAAGGCGGACACGATACGCATCTGTGTAAACATATTCGTTGCCATAATAAACACCAAAGCAATCGAGGCCATTAAAATCATCTTTGACCGTTTATCGCCTCCAGCATAATCACCCAGAAGATTCACCTAAACAGATAAATTTTCGTTTAAATGACAAGAAAATGATGACGCATTCGGCGTTGATCAATCTCTTAAGAGATGCGTTAGCTGTTAATTGTACTCGTCGTATACGACGCTGCGGCTGCGTATAGAGGATGAATAATAAATGATGTTTACAGCCATATAACATAACGTTACGCTGTACGACCTTTTAACTTAATCAACGTTGCACCTCGTTAGTACTTAGAACGAAGACTGCATGGAATTCTCATGTGTCATCGGCTTATCTAGTTTCTTCCTCAAAAGTTTACTGCCGTGGCTGGAGTGTTCTTAAGTGTCAAACAGCGAGCTAAGGAGAGGACTCACTCCCACAGAGTCACCAAGTTTATCAACAGCTCCACATTCTCGTCCAAAAGGAAACTAAGAGTGAACCGCTTACACGAATCGCTGCAACACTGGCAGCAACATGGTCATAACCTGGTAAGTGGTAACGACTTGAGGAAGTAGTAACATGTATTTCGAGACAATGATGCTGAGATCCAAGCGATTACTCGTGATTTGTGAAAAATGGAACAATCAAGTAATTATGTAAAGATAAATTATACCATATTGTCTGAGATGAAGAGAATAGCGACACTGCACATCCCAAGTTGATAGAATAGGATCGTCACGTTAACAACATACCTTAATCATTCGACTAACTGTAGGTTAATTCAACAAGACAGCAATCAATAAGCATATCCCACAGTAAACAGCAAAACATGGCACAGCTACTCACATTACGGCTTTACTGTTATTCCTGAGAAAACGAATATCACTGTAGTCACACACTTTTTTCGCAAAATGGCCATAATCTAACGCCGAACGTTCTGATCTATAAGAAAAACAATCCGCTCAATTCACAGCAAGCTCAAAATTAAACAGAAAACTGGAGAAGTAAAACAAGTACTTCTTGGCCAAGTGTTGACTTGCTCGAACTAAAATATGATTTCCATACCAGTTAAAACCGGCAATGACGAAGGTTAGAACGAAAGACATCTGAAACAGTTTTATATTTCCCAAGATCGACTTTCTCTTAACCTCGGCATTGGAATATGAATGTGTCGTTTTCTTGTTCAGCAATCGCGAGG